GCTGTTTAATATTAAAGATAAAAGGTAAACTAAAACCACTTTGTCCTCTCTGACACTAAATATGTTTTAGCTGTTTTATGATTTAAAAATTATGTTTGTGATTATTAATCTGCAACCAACAACCTGCAGTATTTTATAATATGGTGGCCTTTAGCGTCATTGTGCAATATATGAACTGTGGATTACACTAGAGGCCACATCTGCATCTGACACCATATTTAGTGACTAAAAAAGTGTTGATTCAATTAGTGAATGAATGAATGAATAAATGAGATACTCACTGAATGAGTGAATGTTAGTCGCTGAACTGCTTTTCTGTTGTCATTTAAAAGCTTTTCATTTCCTGATGAACTGTGGCCTATTTGACGAGATGTTTTGCTGTTAAATGGCAAATCATAAATAATTTAGTTATGAAAATATTGTTTCTATATGTATTAATCATTATATATATATATATATATATATATATATATATATATATATATATATATATATATATATATATATATATATATATATCATATATATGAGTCACTGGGCGTTGCAGGCACTGTTATTCAATGGTTCAGATCTTACCTCTCTGACAGGTCATTCAGGGTGTCTTGGAGGGGAAAGGTGTCCAACCTACAGCATCTAAACACTGGGGTACCTCAAGGCTCTGTTCTTGGGCCACTTCTCTTCTCCATCTACACGACATCTCTAGGACCAGTCATTCAGAAACATGGATTCTCCTACCACTGCTATGCTGATGATACCCAACTATACCTCTCTTTTCACCCTGATGATCCCTCGGTTCCAGCTCGCATCTCAGCCTGCCTGTCGGACATTTCACACTGGATGAAAGATCATCATCTTCAGCTTAACCTCACGAAAACAGAAATGCTTGAAGTTTCTTCCAACCCGACTCTGCACCACAGTTGCCTTTAAATAGCACAACATTGTGATTAACTTTCAGTACAATAAACTTTACTATGTGGTTCTAAAATACTATAGTATTTAGTTTAAATAACTATATTTTATTTGGGACCGTACTGCTGTTTATTTTTATCCAAACAGTGCCATAAGACCAATAAAAAGTCAACTTTACTTCATCATTTATCATTTCAGATGTATGGAGAGTCAAGAATCCTAATACCAATCAGTTCTCTTGGATCAAACCTAATGGGTCATCTAGGTCACGAATAGATTTTTGGCTCATAACTGAGGAATATCTGGAGCTTGCGAACCAGGTTTTAATTTCTGCTGCACCATTGACAGATCACTGTTTGATTTCATTAACTTTGACACAAGTAAGAAAAAATACTACTAAGAAAGACTATTGGAAGTTCAATGCAGAACTTTTAAAGGATAAAGTTTATTGTAGTCAAATTAAAAAACCTAATTAGTGAGGTTGAGAATGATTTCTCTTTAAATTCCAGTGGGATTAAATGGGAGTACTTTAAATTTAAAACAAGGGAAATTTCTATTCGGTTTGGTAAACAAAAGAGAAGCGATATATTGCAAAAAGAATAAAGAATAATTCAGGAAATTAATGATTGCTGTAACACACGATATGGTTAAAGATGTGGAAAAGTGAATCACTCTTCAAGCTAAATTAGACAGCATGTATGTAATGAAAGCACAAGGAGCTTTTGTAAGGTCTCGGGCAAAATGGATGGAAGAAGGAGAGAAGAACACAGCTTACTTTTGTCAATTAGAAAAGAGGAGACAGCAAAGTAATGCAATTCATACTTTAGTTATTAAGGATACAATAATTACGGATTCTAAACTGATATCTGAGGAAATATATTCATTTTGTAGTAATATTTATTCTACATCATATTCTGAAAATAATGCTATTCAATTTCTAGAAAAGGTTAAAGATTATATCCCACAGATAGATATTGAATTTAAAGAAATGTGTGATGAGGATTTGAAGCTAGAGGAACTTAAAGCAGCTATTAAAAAAATGTGTTTGGGTAAGTCTCCTGGTCAGGATGGTTTGACTACTAACTTCTACAAATTTTTTTTGGGAGGATATAAAACATTTGTTATTTGCAGCATTAAAATAGTGTTTTAATTCTAATACTTTACTTACAACTATGAAACAGGGCTTAATTATTCTTATTCCAAAGGCAAACAAAGATAAAAGAATTATTGAGAATTTGAGGCCGATTACTCTACTCAATGTGGATTATAAAATTCTTACATCTGCTATAGCTAATAGATTGAAATTTAGATTGAATCAAGTTATAAGTGAAACTCAGTCTGGTTTTATTAAAGGAAGGCTAATTCACAACAACATTAGACTTGTCTTAGATCTAATTGATTATGGACATTTAATTAAAGAGGATGGGTTTGTTTTTATTTCTTGACTTCTACAAGGCATTTGATACTGTAGAACATAATTTTATTTTGAATTTTTTTGGTTTTGTTCATAAATTTGTTAAAGTAATAGAAAAGTTATATAAAGACATAAATAGTTCAGTATCATTACCATTTGGGACTTCGAAGAGGTTTAACATTAATAGAGGCATCAGACAAGGGGATCCAACAAGCCCATATTTATTTATTTTAGTAGCTGAATTATTAGCATTGTATGTTAAAAATTGCAGAGCTATCAGAACTTTGAATGTTTTAGGGAGTCAATTAATAATAAGTCAACTAGCAGACGATACCACCCTGTTTCTCAGTAATGCAGAGCAGATTTCAGTTGCCATTAATCTGGTGTCTCATTTTTCAAATGCTTCTGGTCTGCAATTGAATTTAAAAAAATGTGAGCTTATGGCAATCCATAACCATACCGAAACACAACTGTTCAATATTCCAGTTAAAAATGAGGTAAAATACTTGGGTGTTGTTATTTCTAAAGACCCTAAAGATAGGGAAAAAGCTAATTTGATGGATAATTTGATAAAAAGTCAAAAAATATTAAATTTGTGGGTTCAAAGGGATCTATCTATTTTTGGTAGAATTGTTTTACAAAAGTCAGAAGCACTTTCCAGGATGATTTACCCAGCTTTTTCTTTAAGTATTTCTGATAGGTGCGTTAAAAATCTGAATCAAATGCAATATAAATTTCTATGGAAAAATAAGCATCATTTTCTAAGAAAATCAGATGTAGTGAAACCAATCATTGAAGGTGGATTGAATGTAATTGATTTTGATGTTATGAATGGTACCCTTAAGCTGAAGTGGCTTCAAACCTTCCTTCGACATAAACATTCTTTCTGGTTTAGGTTTTCTTCTAAAATTTTTGATTTCTTTGGGGGCATAGACTTTCTTTTAAGATGCGATTTTGAGCCATCAAAGTTAAAGTGTAAATTGTCATCTTTTCATAGTCAGGTATTACAGTATTGGAAGTTAATATACAAACATAATTTTTCGCCACATAGCTGTTCTTTGTGGAATAATAAGTATATACTTATTAAGAGGAAATCTGTGTTTTTTCAAGAGTGGATGGACAAAGGTGTTTGGTCTATTTTACAAATTTTGGATGGGGTTGGAAATTTCCTTAATTATGATGATTTTTGTGAAAAATACCATATTATTCGTACTTAGAAATTGTATTTGTCTTTGTTGAAAGCTATTCCTGGTGGTTTGGTTCAGCTAATCAAAGGGGAATTGGGTTATTCTTCTGTGATACCAAGATTGGGCAACCTTATTATTTCTGGTATTAATTTTACTGGGCAGAGCTGTAATAATAAGACCTTAAGAAGGTTAGTAAATACACAGCTTTTCCCTTCTAAAGTTAAGAAAAGACCCCTTGTTTTAGATTTTCCAGAAGACAAGGTGGTTCGAATTCGAACAAGATTTCTCTCTTTTCCACTTCTACCAAAGGCAAAAGAAGTTCAGTTTAAAATTATTAACGATATTTATCCTTGTAATGAGTTCCTCAGACACAGATTTAATTTGGATTGTAACGTTTGTACCTTTTGTGAAGCAGACATAGAGTCATTGGAACATTTGTTTTATTTATGCAAATTTTCAAAAAAGTTATGGGATGACATTACTGTTTGGTTAAGATTAAAATATGTAATACCTGATTTTGATTTTAAAACTGTAAAATATTTATCTTTTTGTCAGAATTCTGAGCTGGAATTTTTGGTTAACAATATTGTGACTTTGGTAAACTATTTCATTCATAAATGCAGATTTTTTAATAACCCCCCCACTTTTCTGCGTTTCCACAAGGATTTAATGGTCTTCTTCAATTCCTTAAAGCTGATGAGACATAAAAAAGCCCTTAAACTGTGTAGTCTGTTAAAGGCATTTTTTGATGATTAACCCCTTTGTATTATAGTGCATTGTATTTTGCTTTTTATTTATTTCAATTTTATTATTTTTTTAATATATATTTATTTGTTTTTTTTATCTGTTTTTTGTGTGAATGCTGCTATTTGGACTTTCTAGATGAATAAGATGTTTCTTTGTTCGGTCATTTGTTCTTTTTTCTGTATGTTCTTATAAGATCTAATAAAAAAAATAAAAAAAACTATTGCACCATCAAAAAAAAAAAAAAAAAAAAAACTTTAAAAAGGAAAAACAAATCGCCAATAGGTGGCAGCAAGAGACCGCTTTAATCGAGTGAAGCTTTAAGTGATTCATTCAGCCACGAATCACTGATTCAGTGACTCGCCCGACTTTATACAGAGTCCTGAATTATTCGTGTAAGGAAACGCCACTGTGTATTATTCAGAGATGTACAACTGTTCTGCTGTTTATTTTATTATTATCATAGTAATGATTTCACTATTATTAATGAGAAAATAACGCGGAAGTTTTTAGCGCCTCGTCACGTGATCGTCAGCATCCATGGCAACGGTTCTTTTTGTGTTGTTTTGAACTTGCTCTGTCATTGGCATCTGATCTCGGCGTTCTTCGTGGCAACTGATTCCCAGATTATTGATATTATTGATTGTTGGATACATCGATTGATCGCCTGCTGCTCCCTTCATTCAGGTTTGACCTTTGTGATCACACTGTGTTTTGTGTTTAGTATGTCTTGTGTTCATTACAGGTTTCAGAGTCGACTCACCTACGACTCGCTCCAGTTTGAGGGCCTCAACATCACTGTGGGAGAGCTGAAGCGGCAGATCATGAGGCGCGAGAGGCTGAAGTTCTGCCAGCTGAAGATCAGCAAAGCCCAAACTGATGAAGGTGAGATGAGGAAAAGCCACTTAAACTATACTACACTAACATTAGATGTGTTATTAGACAGACTTGTAGAAGCTGACATGTGTTATCATGACTCTGATGGTGACATATAGTGATGTTTTGAGTGTTTTAAAATGCTAATGGCACTCAAAGTATACCATGGTAAATGATTATTACTATATTCAAACTTTATTTTGCTGTCAGAATACACAGATGATGATGCTCTCATCCCCAAAAACACATCTGTCATCATCAGACGGGTCCCTGCGGCTGGACTGAAGTCCTCCAAAAGAAGATTTGTTGGGTAAGTCATGTGAAATGAGCGCAACCATCCTCTGATAGATGTTATATCAAGAGTTTGAGTCTGTCTGTGGTGTTTTAGTCACACAAGCTCCTTTGTTTTGCAGACATCAAGCTGGACCATCAGCTAAATCTTCTCAAACAGGTGATTCTTCACTCCTCTCACTGGAGCAGCTGTTGAAGGTATTGAACAAATGATTAATTCACCCCACTGTGCTGCTCTGTATTGAACTGCAGTGTTTGCATTTGAGGCGTCATAATGACATGTAGTGCAGAATATCAATACACAGTGTAAAACACACAAACACACACACACACACACACACACACATACACACACACACACACACACACACAGCTTCTTAGGCAGACCAGTAAAATAAAATTCTAATGTGCAAATGCCTGTGAAACAGACTGAGAATTTGGCTGAGGCAAAGGCATCAGAGGAGGACAAGCTAAAAGCGGTGATGTACCAGTCCAGTCTGTGCTACTACTCCAGCAGGTGAGCGTTCAGACACTGACAGGTTTGGTTTGTGAGAAATGTTAGAGCTGATTCTCATGGTTCTGATGTTTATCAGTGAGGCCATGACACTGCTTGGGCTTCTTCCACCCAACTATGTCTGCTTTCACTGTGGGATCCCAGGACACCACATTAGGCACTGCCCCTCTAAAGGGGTAACTGGGTTTTCTAAGCTTATGGTTGCTGTGAACTTGAGCTCTTGTCTCCATCAGTCAGATTGTTTGCTCTGTCGTTTGACTGTCACTCATGAATTCACAGGGCAGCAGCTCTGCTCCGCATAAGCGCATCCGGAGGAGCACAGGGATTCCCCGCAGCTTCCTGTTGGAGGTGGACGACCCAAACCGAAAGGGAGTCATGATGGACGGCAGCGGCAAATATGTCATTCCCATCATAGACGCGTGAGTAAACTGTACTTGGCATTGCAGCATGTTCTAGTGTTTGTGAAAATCTCACATTATGTCTGCTTGTGTGTGTTTGCGCTCGATCTGTTCAGTGAGGCCTATGCTGCTGAGAAGAAAAAGAGGTCATCCTTCTCCTGCCAGACCAAGCCGCTGCCCTCCTCTTCCTCAGCTGGTGCAGCATCTTCAGTCCAGGACGCCAGAGGGAAACGTTCCCGCTCCCCATCTCCACCAGAGACGCACGGCGACCAGAAGAGACCACGTCACTGAGAGACCTTCACCCAAGAGATCTGGAGCTGACGTGAGCACAGTGTATATATTGTACATAGTTTATGAATAAAACTGAATAAAGATTATAGCAGCATAAACTGTGGACTGGTTGACCTTCACACAATACAGAAACACAAAAGAAAATGATCGACACATTAAGATAGAAATGATGAACAAACATGCTGCGGGAGAACCAGTGTGCTGTCCTGCTCACAATCTAAAACTTTTAGTTTAAGTTTATTGAATGTTAATCTGAAAAAAATAAAACGCTGAACAGCTTTTATAGTATTCAATAGTTTTCATCATTAAGGGGAAAAGTTCAAGAAACATGGAAGAAAAGGCGGCATGTACATATTTTTAAAAATCCATTGGAATGACATAGATGTGCATGCTCTAATAAGTCATTTTGGCTGAGTTCATATGGTGTCCTTTGGTGGTTTCTATTGCTGTTGTTGTTTACTGTTCAGCTGACTTAAGCAAATAGATTTCTTTAAAATGTAGCTATTAAGGGAAAAAATAATGTATCTTTATAAATATACAGGGGTGATAGCGTTCCGGCACCACGCCGGATTTCCGGCGTACTGTGGCTGCGGGAAAAAAAAAAAATCAGGTTCACGGATATTGATCTGTCATTTCTCTAGATTCACAGAATTCACTCACTGCTGAAAGCGCCGGATTGGTTTTTATTAAGTGCCATTTTGTGTGCTCGTGAATCATCTTTTGAGTGTAGACGCCATGTAAATAAAAGATTAATTGTGTAATTTAGAGAGCTTTATAAATTATAACGGATCTTTGTGAGATCTCTATGAACTAAGATAAGTGACGCTTTTTAGTGATAATAAGAGGAGCGTGCTTTGCACTTTCCAGGCTATAATCCATTCAGAATTTGTATGAAACTTTCGTTTTCGGCACATATACGCTGATATGTTTTGGGAATGACATCTGCATATTTACGCTGGGTTTATTCTCGAAATAACGGTGAAGCAATAGATGGGACAAAAATATATTTCCCCCTTCTCCTTAAACAACTTAGTGTCTCAGCTATGAAATAGTTCAGTTTTGTATGTAGCCTAATGGCAAAGTGTTTATATTTAGTTTCTTTTTTTATTCAGCTTATTTAGAAAAACGTTTGGAGCATTTTTTTATTCGTTAAAAATACGTTTGTTTTTTTAACGAACAGCGCCCAGCGGAAGACCATCATTGTCTGTTTGATCAGTTTGCCTTCTCAGATCATCACGACTTGCCTAAAATAAAAGATATAAAACAGTTCAAGTATAAAACAATGGTAGCTTAAACGTTAAAGAATGTGTGCTATTAGGCGCATAGTTTGCTTATAAAACGCTTGCAGGACATAGGGGCGCCAGAGCATTCATTTGCATTTTTTCAGTGGGAGCAATTTAAAGTTATCCGTCATTTTTGCTCACAAAGTACGAGTAATACATCAAAAAACGTTACAGTGTTTTTATAAAATAAAGAAAACCAAAATTATGCGCTTTCTGTCGTCTGGTTTTTGAACAGGAGCGCTTAACAAAATGAAGCAAAATGTATATGCCTCACAGACATAATAAATATATTTATAGAAAGCTTTAAATTATTATTTAACGAAATAAAACAAATCGAAAACAAAAAAACTCCTTCATGTAATCCGTAAAGATGAATTTCACTCTAAAGGCGAGTCCAAGAGGAGATTGCCAGTCAGGATCTTTGCGACACTGACTCAGAATAAGTTTATTAATAAATAATTAAGATATGTCCTTACTCTTTCCTCGACACATTCATTGTTATTTGTTTTTGCCGGTGCTTGGGGCGAGTTTTAGCTTATTGTGTGCGCTTGAACGCGGATTCACGGTAGCAGTTTTAACATGGAGTGACACGACATCTGACGTACAGATGACACTGGCACATGCCACTGAGTGTAGTGACACTTCCGGTGGCACGTCCGGTTTTTCACTGTCATGTGTCACTCGCTAGTGGCATGTGTAGTGACCTGTGTCACTCAGAGTGTCGCGCTGCATGTCACTGCAGTGACATCGACACCCGGCGAAGCTTATGACATTAATTAACACGAGCAAAACCATATTTAATCATTACGCGACTTTTAACCTAATTTATCGCGTCGCAAGTTAGTTTATTTGCTGAGCTACTCCACGATGTTTTAATTTAAAAGCATTTATTTTATGTATTCGTAATCATACTTCCGTACGTAATATAGTCATTTGACAGTACATGTCAGTCAAATTTATTGTGACATGCTTATGTATGGGAGGGGTTACACTTATCTGTTGTACTGTATATTATTGCATCCTGGCAGTTCCTTTGTTCCCTACAATATGGACTTTTCTATGTTTTTAATTCATTCATTTATTTTATTATTTAACTTATTTTCATTTTAAGGTATTTTAAATGATATCCTTTAAAAAGTTATAATAAAATGCATGTTGAAAACTCATAACATATATGCATGTAAGATAACAGGTGTCATTTGCCTAATGATTTTTAAATATTAAAGCAAAGAGACTTATAAGATTAATGTGCTTATAACGTGCTTATACTGACACCTACTGGCACATGTCACAAGATCATTGACACTGGCATGTGTCACTGACATTACTGGCATGTGTCTAAAAAGAGCCACTTGACAATAATGATGATCAGGGTTACACATAGGCTGTTAATATATTAGGGCCCAGGGGCCCACAAGTTATGTGTTAAAAGTGCGTTGCATACATAGTACCCCCACCCCTACTCACCTCAGGGGCAAGGAAAAAAAGTTCAGGCTCAGGAATTTTTTCCACTATCAGCCCTGTAAATATATATATATATATATACACACATGGCCTCACTGTAGGAAGGCTGCTGGTGGGAGTCCCGACTGGGTCAGATGGCATTTCTGTGTGGAGTTTGCTTGTTCTCTCCGTGTTCATGTGGGTTTCCTCTGGGTGCTCCAAACCCATGTGCTATGCTGTAGGTGAATGAATAAACTAAATTAGCCATAGTCTGTGTGTGTGTGTGTGTGTGTGTGTGTGTGTGTGTGTGTGTGTGTGAGTGTGTGTGAATGAGGGTGTATGGATATTTCCCAGTACTGGGTTGCAGCTGGAAGGGTATCCGCTGTGTAAAAAATATGCTGGATAAGTTGGCAGTTCATTCCGCTGTGGCGACCCCAGATTAATAAAGGGACTAAGCTAAATGAAAATGAATGAATAAATTGATTGATTGATTTTATTTAACAATTTTAACAAAAATACACAAACAAGTCCAGTTTGACATTCATATCTTAAAAACTGTCGAGGATAAAATACACAATAAAGCCACAGGCTGATTTCCATCGTGGTCATCGATATTCTTAAAAAATGAACGAGCAAATCATAAAGTGCAAACATCATCAGCTCAGAAACTCAGCACAACAAAAATCCTCAACTTCAACCGAAAAACAGCCATTTTTTAATTTCCTCTCTAAAAACTCTCAAATTGAATCAATTTAAAACTCTTCGGCAGTATATTCCAAGCAACAGTACACAGAAAAGACTTTCTACCTGTTTCACTCCAAAATCTACAAGGACAAATACCCCTGCTACTCGCTCTTGTAGAATGACAGTGTACCTCACTAACTAAAACTTAATAAGTAAATATTTTGGGACCATTTTCTTTAAAATCTTAAACACCATCACCAATTTCAGAAAAGTGACCCTTTTTCCAACTTTTAATAAATTAATTTGACTATAATATTCATTATTTAAATGTGTCAGTAGAAGTACTTTGATAACAATTCTGCAACTTATTTTGGGCCGTCTGCAATTTATTTTTCATTTTTGTGGAACTACTGCTGTACCAAAAGACTGCAGCATAGTCAAAGTATGACTGCACTAATGCACTAGCCAATATTTGTAAAGTTTGGAAATCTAAGAGCTCTGTCTGTCTTGCTAAAAACTTAATTTTAGAACTTTTGAATGGACTATAACAGCCATCTTCTCACCTGTCAAATTACTGTCTGAAATGCAACCTAAATATTTCCCTTCATGTTTGGGTTCATTAATTTGATGCTCTACTTTTACCTCTGATCTGACACATTTTCTCAGTTTCGCAGCTGAACCAAATAAAATAAAT